GTACTTTTATGATAATTAGTACGAACCAATATTTATTCGAGCGGGTTTATAGGCTGCCCTTTTATCTTCTTGTTTATTGGTATTGCTCCTGCTCCCAATTCGGTTTACTGAATGTTAATTACGTATGTTCCATGCTCTCGTGTGCAATGATTATTATGATTTTTTATTAAAACTTGTTTATACCAACCAATCAGTCTTGTATTCAGACTATAATGAAATGTAAGTTGTAAAAGGTATATTCGTTGTGTGTATTCGTAGAACGATTATTGTGTAATGATGTTGGTAATAAAGAACAATAACCGGTAGTGATGTGAGAAGTGTTTACAAAGCCTCGAGCGATACAAATACTCTAATGTCTACTATAACTACCGAAATATATAACATGGTTCTATCATTAGGTATAATCGAGGTAATTTTTCACGCATTTTTTACCACGCAACAGCGAACACACTTAGGCAGTAATTCGTTTCCATCATCTTGAATCGGAAAAAGTGATTGATGCTACGCAACTAAGTTTTTACTCAAAAATTGCGACATATTTTCTGTAGTCATTAAACTTTGAGACGGTGTGCTTAAACAAAAAATCAATAATCGAGCTTGCCTCATATTGGCGCTAATAAAAAACTTGATAATGTATGGACAGTAAAAAAATACATTAGCATCTTAACGAAGTCGATTGTCATATAACGGCAAGAAATTTCAATTAAAGCGTTTGTTTTGCGATATAAAACATTATGCAATCTATTAATAACATTAAAGCTTATACGTATCAGACGGGAGTTAATAGTGGTACATGCGGTAGCTTTAATGTTTCGTCAGGGTTCTACCACTCGTATAAAAACAGATGGTCCCATTAATTTATAATATTGTTTTTAAGGTCAAAATAACCGACGTAAGTTATTTAATATAATAACGCAACTCTAATAATACATTACATAGTTTTATATTAAGGACAACAGAATATCCATAGGATGACCAGTCAAGTTGATTTAAAGTAAAAAAGAAAAGCAAGACTCATAGAGGACGGTCAATATTAATAAAAATAAGCATTTTATCGTTAATATAAACAGGTGATGAAATGTTCTGGTAGTGTTTTATCAGAATGATATTTTTAGTTATAAAATTCGACACCGTGTGTATGTCGTCTACTATTCACTAGATAAAGCTATAGAAGATTACATTTGAATGATTTTATGTATTTTAATTTGTTTAACGTAATGTGTCGGCCCACCCAAACATAAACGCGGCGGAAGAGCATTTTAATCTAAAGGGGACTCAAAAGACTGACGTTGAAGCAGACAGATAGTTTAACCTGTAGGAGCAGCCATTGTTCAGTTTTAATAGTTTTTTTTACCATTTTTTTGAAGAATAAAACAAAGAGTTAAGAAAATATGAGCAAATATTATACGTTTTATATATTACTTAAACATGTAAATGGCAACTTCAGCGACATTCATTTTAAATAATATTTTAATTTACAGTTATCAGAATCAAAGTGAACGCAGCAGTTAAACTGGCTATCATGGTACAAGTTTGTAAGAGGCGTCGTATACGTTTCTTCTTAGTATTATCGTTTTAAGGTTTCGAAAGACATCAAAACAAAATAAAGGTTTGTTGAAAACAGATGCGAATCCTGATTGTCTTGCTTATGTGTTAGTAAAGTACCGAGATGTTATGTAAGTGCTCCGTATGAAATAGTAGGATATTACTTTATGTTTAACAGTATTCACGAATAAATAAATAAAAGTTTTAATACGAATATTATATTTGAAGGTTTTATGGTAATATTAAGTAAAAAAAATTGATACTAAGTAAAAGGACTGGCCACACGATGAGAGCAAATACAGAAAAATGGAGTAAAGTAGTGACCGACTGGTATCCAAGGGACGGTAAACGTAGTAAGGGGAAACAGAAGAGAAGATGAGCTCAAGCAAACGGCGGGCCCCAATTGGAGGAGAGTGGCTCGTGACAGAAACCAGTGGGAGGAGCTAGAGGAGGCCTTTGCCAAGAGGCACACTGAATTGAGGGACATACTATAACAAAATTTATGATAGAGAAACATAAACAATTCAGAATAAAAGAGCAAATAATAATAATAAGTAAAAATAGTGATCTGAAATATGAACCTCTCCAGAGTTTACTCTAACATAAAATCGGCCAAAGTTATTTTAGACTCTTTAATATTCTTATTCAAATTTATTGATATAATTAGTCATTTTTCTCTGCGATTTTGTGCCAGCGATGACGATCATAAAAAGTTCAGAATATTTTGGTTTGCTTTTTCATGTTTTGGCACTAACTGTATTAACTCAGCAAGACAAATAACGTTTTTTGTCATTCGTCCTTACAAACAATCGATTGATTTAATGATCTATTCATCAATAGCCTTTAATAGTCCACTGCTGGACATGGGCCCAAATTCTTTCTAACCTACTATAATCTATCTCCCTTAAATTCTTTCTAACCTACTATACCATGGTTTTGGCCTACTATACCACGCTTGCCAAATGGGTTGGTAAAGGATTTGCTTCAGTTTTTTCCGTACAAAAAAAAAGAAGGGGTGTTGACATTCCGTATTCATAATCAGTCACCACAATACATTTAAATAATTTAATGACCCTTTTTTCAATTAAGAATTGAATATTTGATTAGTATTTTTATTTTGTCAGTATTAGATTGAAAATTCCTAAAAATACTAATAAACCATTAATATATTTAAGCTGCATGAAGAATTAGTACTGCTTACATACATTTAAAATTGTATAGTACTCTATATAAATTACTATTCCATATTCCTAAAAGAAAACTAAAATTGAAACATCATGATTTAATTTTAGTTATCCTACGTGCAAAATATAGGAACACTAAATCACAAGTAAAAAGATGATAAACATATCATTGTTAGCTTGTGACAGACACACCGTATTTTATAGAGATTTCATTCGAACATAAATCCGGTTCACATTGTTCAGTAATTATGCTTTGGAATAAATTGTGATATTACCGGTCTAACTATTCTTCGTGTCTGCGATCCTGGTACATCGTAAATTTTCAAATGAGAAGATTTAATATGCGCAGGATTTTCTACATACGTTAATCAATAATTATTAAGTATGTGTACATATATAATAAAGCTAACCTTGATACGATTTGTAATTAGATTTCTTAATCTATTTGAATTAAATTGAGGTTGAGTTATATTTTTAGGTATCTGACTTGATAAGTCCCGTGACGTAAGAAAAGCTCAAATTCTAAAAAAAGTCTATTTGTTACTTGTATTCTTTGCTATATATTTTATTATTTCTATTATAAATACTTTATTCAATAAGAATATGATAAATCATTCATATTAGTTATTGAAACTTGTGGTTAACTCTTTTGTTATGTCTGGGTGAGTCTGACTTACAACTTATTTTTTTAGCTATGACTGCAGTAGACTTCAAACGTTTATCGTTACCACACTGTAGCACTGGTTTAAAAAGCTTTTAGATCAAAAAACCTCTTGTTTAAAATAGTAGTAGTAGAGAAACTCGCCGTTCTACATAACATTTCCACATGAGAAACACCCAAATACTCCAAAATATCCCGAACATCGATGTTTCGATTTTCAAAAAATTCTCTATTCTTAAAATTCACTTTTCACAAAACAAAGTTCTCTCTAGTCTATTATTAAAATTAACCAAAAGTTATTTTACCAAAAGTCGTTAATACGATTTGTTTGTTTTGCGATTGTTATACGTTCGAAGAATGAAATGCTTGATGGGTTCTCGTCTCGGTCCGAAAAACAACATAACCGATCTTCAATACTTCGAATAAACTGCTAACATTAGGATTCTAATTCTGATTCAGTTAGTATAATATTCGGTTAGGTATATATATTCAAATACTATAAGTAACGTTTAATGTAATTTAAAAACGTCTACTTTGTTAATAATATTTAAGTGTTTTTTTTTTTAGTGTTATCTTCTTCTTCTTACATATTCATAGATTAGGTTAGAACACTGGCGATTAGTACTAGATCCCCTCTATTGTTAGTGAATCATTTAGGTTAGGTTAGGTTAGAACGCGCGGTTGGAACAGCCGCGGATAGCACGCCAACGTGCTGTTCTACCTAACCTCGAAGCTTGGGTAAGTAGGGACGGAGGTCGCGTCCTACCGACTCACGCAGGTACTCACTAATACGCAGGTAATCCCCGGCTTATTATTATCCTCTTGAACTGCACAATTTAGAGAATTAGATTCGTCTCAAAAGAAATTTCAAGTCATAAAGTAAATTAAGTATGAATTAAATACGTACATAAACTGGTATATAAACAAGAACGTCGCAATATCCAATCAATAGATCCTTGCTCTCAAACTAAACGCTCTACGTGAATGTCACCTATCGTCTAACCGCATGGATTAAACAAATTGTCCAGTACACTCAGTTTAACTCTTATTTAGGCATCTTAAGACTTATTTTAGCTTGATTATGCAGTGATTGTATTTGCATAAGAGCACCTAGATCTCACTTCCAAGCGGTCAGCTGCGAGCGATGGCTAATTAAGAACATAACCTCAAAGGCTCGGTGGCCTAAGGTTAGCTAAATGCAGACTAACGGCCGTTTTCAATAACCTATCTCCAGTTAAGGATAGATCGCTATCTTCGATTTGCAGCCTGATCTTATCTATCCCTGACTTGCGTTTCACAATCGAGGATAAGTGCTATCTATCTGTCACAAACGAAGGATAGCTTTTTCCCTCTTGAAACGTTTAGTGCTTTGCTAATCAAATGTTTAATGTTAAAAACAAATATTAACTATTTATTTATGTTTATTAAAAGTTCTTATTGTGTATATTATTTTATACATTTTATGGTGAATCAACATTAACTTGATTTTTTTAATTTGTTTACTAAATTGTATCATGAAATAAAACGTTTTGACATATCGCATTGTATAAAAGACATTGGAATTTGTTTGTGCGCGTATCTTGTGTTAAATATCATAAAATTAATTAAAAATGAATCCTGTAAGTATTTACATTGATGATAATTTTTACATTCCATCCGTTCAATCTTCTAAAGATTATTTTTTTCAGTCAAGCAAAGCGGCGCCAATGACAAAAGATGAGACGATGCTCCTCGTGCAGCTTGTGGCGGGCGTGGCGGCAAGTGCATTTATAAATAACAAAGCAACAAATGCCACTAATAACAAACTCAAGGACCAGGCTTGGCAAACATTAGCTGTTGATTTTAATTCGTCAGTTTCAAGTTACCAAAGAACTCCAGCGCAGCTACGTTTAAAATGGGGTAACTTGAAGAAGGCCGCTCGTAAACGCTGCGCAAACATGAGAATCAGCCGTAATAAGGTCAGTTAGGGATTATGATTAATGATTCACAACAGTAAGTAGTAAGTTAAAATAATATTTTTCAGTACTCCTTTTTTTTACAGACCGGAGGAGGGAATGACTACTTTCCACCTGACGAAGTCCTGGACAAAGTGGCATCTTTATTAGGCAACACATGCACAGGTTTTTCTGTGGAGTTTGGTGGGGATGCCACCATTCCAAACGTTTCTTTGGTGATGGCTGAAATAGAGAATGATGTAGAGGTGATATGTAATGAAACGCTAGATGATGCTGATGGTACTTATGGTGGAGGTGGTGATAAGAGGGAGGTGTTGAAAGAAACACAATTACTTGAGACACCTCCCCCCCCTAAACATAAAAATTTTTACATAAGTAAAGCTAGTGGCAGTGGTGCATTGGGTGGGTGGCTGAAATTTTTGTTTTAATGCTATTTTCCATTACATACTTATTCTCTGAAACATGCTAACTGTGGACTATGACACACATTGAAACCATATAATAACTACTATATCTTACTTTACTTTATTTTTATAGCCAAGCGGAAACAAAGGATGGAAGAGGAAAAGTGTAAGGCCCGCATTATGAGGGAAAATGCTCTTACCGAATATTTAGTTGTTAAGAAAAGAAAAATCGAATTAGAAAATGAGGAAAAGGAGTTACATATAGCTAAACTTAAGTTAGAATTAGATAAGGCTAGATTAGAAAATTAATGAGGTAAAATGTTTTAAATTTTTTGATTGTAATTTTTAATCTTCATATATATCTATTAAAAAACATTCGGTAAAGGAACTTATAAGTATAATATGAAATTAAAATAATGTAATGATACTAATAATACTTAATTATAAACAAATTGTTACTAACACACTAACACTATGGACTGCATCACTACGGTGTCAGACCAGATAAATGATTATTATAGGCATGTGCTTTGTTTACCTCAATAATCCACCACTGGTACATTGTATTCTGATGTCAAATTTGTAAAAGAAATTAAAAATGTACATAAAACATGAATTAATATTATTTATTTTACACATTAAAATAATTATTTATTAGTAATTGCCGTTCTGACATGTTTAAAATTGGAGAATTATCATTGACAATTACATTTTCCTCCTGTGTTGTTTCTGGAATCGATATTTCTGGCTCAATTTCATCCAAATTCATAGTTCTGGCAATATTGTGTAACACAGCAGTGGCTATAATAACGGATTGCATATTTTCTAATTTTAGCCTCATTTTCAAGGATAATATGGGGAATCTTCTTTTCCAAACTCCAATGCATCTGCAATTACAGTAGTTATTAATAAATTGTGTATTTAAACCATGTACACTGAATCTAGTATTTACTAAACAAAATAAACCTCTCTATAGTATTTCTTGTTTTAATGTGTGCTTCATTATAAGATTGCTCTGATGGAGTATTTGGGTTGAGTAGAGGTGTCAATAGATAGGGTGTGCATGGATAGCCACTATCACCAAGCAGCCAGCGATTTCCAAGTCTACCTTGTTCACAATAATCTGCAAGTTTATATTATATATTAGACTTTTAAGCAATAGGAACAGTGTACTTAACATTCATAGAATAAGCAACTAACTAAATCAGTAACCTTTTAAATCAGAATGGTTAAATATAGTTGCATCATGAGTGGATCCTGGCCATCGGGCAACAACATTTAGGAACACTAATTTACAATTACACACAACTTGTACATTAATAGAGAATGCTCCTTTCCTGTTTCTGAATTCTTCTCCCACATTTGAGTCTGTAAACAAAAGAATTATGGTATGAAAACATCATAAAAAGTGAAGTTAGACCGGGACCTAAATAGAAGTATTAAATAGTTCAATATGAGGTGAGATGAGGTACTTACTTGGTGATTGTATTAATATATGGGTGCCATCTATGACACCATGTACTCTGGGAAATCTAGCAATATTATAAAACTCTTGTTGAGTGTGATTTTGTAACACAACAAAGTTTGAGTATAATCTTGCTATGGCTTTGGATACATCAGAGACAATACGACTAGCAGATGCTATAGATACTCCGATAAAATCTGCAACAGACACTAGCATAGTACCCAATGCATAGAATCGTAGAGCCAAAAGTATCTGATGGAGGGTGGATATGCCGTGATTTCTGGAAAAAAATAAGAACTGTTATAACCTGAACCTTTGCTATAATAGCAATACTAGCCCCAGTAAGAGCCTACACTTGAGCCAAACCCAATAAATAAAATATAATACACTTGCTTGTAATTGTCAAATTAAAGAATGGTTTAATCTTTGTTGTTTATGATTATAATATATTTTTTATCAAATTTGGTTAAAGGATGGAGATAGGACTAAAAATGATAACGTAAAACCTTACCTTTTAGACGTTACACTTAAATATGGTTGTATCCAATTTATTAATTGATTCACAGCACTCTTATTTAATCTAAATCTATATGCAAATTCGTAGTCATTTAATTTAGTCATATAATTCACACGTGGTTTATATTCCTTCTGTACAGGTATGTTATCATCAGTATCACTGTCACTGCTTTCATCATAATCCATTATAATGCCATATAATTCCATATCGCTATCATCACTGCTAAAACCTTCCATTATTTTATATTTAATATGAAGTTATTTATTATCGAAATTCTATCTGCCCGCGTAACTGGCCGATGTTGACAGATAAACAAAAACATTACTAATAGTTAGCTGCGCCTACCGGAGAGTAACTCGAAACTTATATTGAAATACAAGTTAGTCAGATTACTATGCGAGTTCCTATCTCTAGTTGACTATCCGTCCTCCCAAAGGTAGATAGATAACTCCGATAGGAAATGCTATCTGCCGGTAGGTTATTGAAACGTAAGTTAGGGTAAAAGGATAGATTTGTTTAACTGTAGTAATGAGAACTAAGGATAGATAGGTTATTGAAAACGGCCGTAAGTGAGCTTCTGCGCTTGTCTTCCAAAGCATTAGATACCTACGTATTTACATTTCGTAGAGCTTTGCATGAAACTACGTTTCGACGTTGAACGATAAATTTTGCATGAATTGAATTGCAAATAGTTGTTAAGTTTACAGTTTCGTATTGATATGCGGGACACTGTTTGCATGTGTGCGCTCCCGGAGACGAATTTATGAAGATTTATGATTTGATAATTTATGGTCCATGTATGTTCCCGAATGTATATTTATGGTTAGTAAATTTGATGAGCAATAATGTATTCGTAGAAGCAATGTTTTATTTATTTATTTTTATATTAAAAACAAACATGGTGTTTTAAATTTACGCTGGACATTAATAAATTACGATTGTTATCTGACATTTAAAGATTTTAATTATGTGTGTTGATATTTATTGTTTTTTTGTGTTTATCAAATATTTAATGTTTTCGAACGACAAACAAAAAATAAAATTTATCACAAACATCGTCGAATAAATTAAATCTTATTGGAGTTAAAATGTGATTATCTGTCGTTAAATTTATTGTTTTGGAAGATATAACGCAGATTACGGAAAATAAACAAAGTTTTTGGCTCAATAAAATGTTGATTTGAAAGGCTTTAAGTCATTTTGATAAAAAGTAGTTAAAACGTGGTTGGTTATGAGAATTGTTGTACTTAGTATATATGAGCGGGTAATATTCCTAAAATTTGAGTTTTAAAAATAAGTTAATCAATAAAACTTGTCCATTGTTCGTAAAACAGTTTTTTTATTTCTTTTATTTAGGCTTATTTTTGCCTCAATAGGATAAGCTAATATGAATTTCACTTCTTGATATCGGGTCAATTACCACGATCTCAATTATCATCTTATATTATCACGTTTAATTTTAATTTCAAACATACTTCATATAATTTTTTTTTGTTTTATCGTAGATCTGTGCAAATGAAACTGCCATCCTGTAGACTTTCCGTACCATAATAGGCCCAAATATATTATTATAGCTTTCTTTAAGATCTTTCGTTAAACATTGTTTTTTTTTAACATTATCACAATACGATTAAAAACTTCTTCTACATATATTATTATAATCTTTAAATACACAACATTTTACAATCCAAAATGCGCCCAATTTTCTTTGGAAATATTTGTACTCGGTACTTAGTAATATTTCTACGTTTTAAATATACCTAACAAATATTTAGCCGAAACGGTCGAACCATGGCCTACCTACTAAGTAACTATTAAAAATTCATATTTTTATACAGATATATTTAAATGACAATATGTAAGAAATAAATAAGATTTATTCATTTACTATTTGTGGACTTACAGCATTCAGTGTATTTATGTTATTGTAATTGCTGTTTTTGAAATCCTAATATATCTTTAATACCAATTAAAAAATGCCTCTAACATCATAGCAAAAGCTCAGCTAATTATATTACACTATATTTATATATTTTTGGAATTTATTTAGATAGCCAAACATCTTTTATGTTTGGCTATCTAAGATACACGGTGGTCTAAGATACAGCCATGGTGTAAGTATGTGTTGTTTGGTTACACACTGACAAATACTATCTATGAATCATATAAATAATTGTCAGATTTGAAAGTGGAAGCTACAACACTCAAAATTGATGACTGCACAGGCGTAATACGATGTTAAAATCATAAAATCTCATATTAAGAAAGCTATTAAATAACAACATAGGATTTTATCGGTTGGAAAGTTAAAAATTGCCTTTTATTTTGTGTTATCCGCAGATAACTTTAGTTTCCTGAGCACGTTCTTTGGATGATAACAAAGTCCAATACAGACGGGAAAGATGGCTATATTGATAGCGAACTTTTATAACTAAGTAAAAATATTAGATAGATGTTTATCTAGGTACTGACTGTTTTGTCTAATAAAAAGGTTTGGAACTGTCATTTTATTAATTAGTGTTTGCATGAAGGTTAGATCGGGTGGGTAACATACACCTATTGATTTTGATAGAATCATTGTTGTTCCTTTAACGATTTACTATATTAACTATATATTTACTTTTACCTTTTTATTATTAACTATAATTTAACTTTTACTGATTACTATATTCCAAGTTTGGTGACAACACTAACTTAGTAGGGTCTCATAAGTTCGTCCGATTTATATACATACATATACTCTCTCTGGAAAAAACTACGAAGAACAACAGCACGGCAGAGAGAATGAAAACTTGACACAAACCCTATACCAACCCGTCTGGCCAGCGTGGTATAGTAGGCCAAAACCTCCTTTCTAAGGAGAGGCTTATGTCCAGCAGACTATTAAAGGCTGTTGATGATGATGATATATACTCTGTGGAATCTCTTCAAAAAACTACATTGTGTTAAAATTTACTTTGCTGTTATTTAAAATAAATCTCTTTAAATCTCTATAATATCATTAGTCATTATAATATCATCTCTACAATATTAGCTATAAAAAGCATGGCCTTGAAATTAAGCCTTGTCCAAAACCTCTACACCTCCTCAAAGAGTACGATGGCTCCTCGACATTCCAAACACAACTACGACAAAGTTATAAAAATGTTATAATCAGATTAGACCAAATGAAAAATCTAGAAGGATGAAATTATAGTGTCCTCTTTTATTTCTTTCTTTTTCTAATAATATAATATACTTATGACTACTAAAATAATTATAATTAATCGATCAAATGATTAAAAAATAACTGACTTGAATAAATAGCGCTCAACGTTTTATTTCTTT